TCGGTCCACATTAGGCCGAGTTTTCGAGGTTCTATTGTATTTAAAAATATATGAGGAGCATTCAGAAATGATTTACAATAGCAGTTTTCTGTACCTTATTTATTACATAACCTATATATAAACATGAAATCTGTCAATATATCACTACCAACATCAATGCACCATTGCCATCTTTCTGGTAACTTCATAATGGTGTCATGGAACCATTCCTTAAGTTACTATAAAATGGCCAACCTGTTATGTCACCAAGACACAATGCCCTCTCAATCAAAATCAATTCAAACACAATCTCAATGTTCCTGGCCATTCATGGCATTGATGGATGACCAGTGCTTACATTCTTGTGTGCGGTTTCCATGCTGCTGGCAAATTATTTGACCCAGTTATATATGGTCTGTGCAGAACCTTCCTGACCACATACCACAGTTAAATATCTATGAATTTTCACAGTTTTGACACCTTCCTTCCAAAGACTATCTTTGTCTAAGTGTTTCCCTACTTGCCAACAGATGAAGACCATACTCTTGCAACGCACTCCAGTGGTATCTAACATCAGGCATATGCTTTAAGTACTAGTATCAGCCTATCATCCTATAAGAGGGCATGCCTACAGATTGCAAAGTATTCGTACAACATTGCAATTGTAAATCATTTCTGAACACTCCTCGTAAGTATTTGTAAAAGTATATAGAAATATTCTCCCCTTTTTATAAATAACAAATTTTATTATCAAGTTATTATTTCAAACCCTCTTTTAAAATGTAAAATGACTTATTCTTTTATTTTATAACTAGCTGCAATGACCTGCTTTGCTGGGTTTTTATTTGTTTGTACATTTGTATGTAACATAGTTTTTTTATATATATAAAAGACTGTTTTTCTAAGTAATCTAGAATCTAGCTGCAAGGACCCGCTTCACTGGGTTTTTATTTGTGGGCTAGAGTAACGATAGTGAAGATTAAGATAATTACATTATAGCCAATCTTACCCGTTTTCACAGAATGCAAGAATTAGGTCCCCCGTTTCCAGACTAATTAGAGAATTTTTACGTCCAGTCAAATGAACTATTTTCAATTTGATCAATTTTCTGGAACGTTTACAATCGTTCTATAATCGAACCAATTCAAATTTGAAAATTTTAAAAATTGAAATAGAAAATCTTCCACTTTCAACCACTTTCAAGCCCATATCTCCCGCACCCTTATAGCTATCGAGATGCAACCACCATAGTGCACGAATGGAGACGTGGGGCTACTACCATATACAAACACCATTCATGTGCGATGTGTAGTTTTGGCTGAAAAGTGAAATATAGGGACACACACGTCCATTTATATATATAGACATACAGTTATCAGAAAATCAAAATAAATGTTTTGGTAATTGAAACAGAATATTTTGTCAAATCAACAAAGAACTCTTAACCATTTGCAAAATCCTCATTAAAATGAAAATAAATAACTTATAATAAAATCAGCATAAAAGCAATTTATAAAATAATGGATTTCAAATACATTTAGCCTAAAAAAACAAAAATATAGCTTTACACTTAAACTTAATTAACTCAAGCTTGACATAAAACCTTAAATTAAGAGTCAAATATAAAGAGTTTTTAGATCAGTTTAAAAAATGCAATTAATAAATTCCAATAATTAATTAATAAATTGCCTTTCTTATCAGTAATAATTGATGAATAAGGAAATGTTTTCACTTTTAAGACTCCTCCAAACTTTTTAATTTCACATTATTTATCTTAGTTATTTATCTATCATCATCATATTTCAGAGCTCATTATTTTTTATATTTATTGTAGTATAGTTTACTTCTAATGTCTAGAATAAAGCATATTTTATTTAGTCATGAATACGTTAAGGAATTCCTTGTTTAAAGGAAATATACCAGGAAATGATTGGGTTTCTTTTTTTTTTAATCAAAATAGCATAAGCAAATTATGAAAGCTCATTACAAACATTAAATAATTTCAACTTTTACATGTAGAAAAATGACTAATAATTATTTGTTCAGCACAAGTTATTTTACCGGACAGTCACTTCCTGAGACTGGAAAATGTGGCTACAGAGAATAGAGAATGATATCAAATAGAACTATGCCATAGGACAAATTGATGATGTCACAAATGATTCAATAACTAAACTGAGAGAACTAAGTCACTATTTTTATCTAATGTTTACAGTTAAAAGATACATTTAAGATAAGATATTAGAATATTTTCTGGTTTTCTGATCTCTCAAATTACATCAGTTCAAATCATCTTCAAAAGTAAAACTAGTGTAAATATTAACCATCAAAGCTTAAAGAATAAAAAGATAACATTCCTTAAAGCATTTTAGAAACATTTAAGCCAAAATATTTCTGTTAACTCCCAGACTTTATATTTTACTAAGCATTATATAGCACATTCCCATTTTTATGATCTAATCATATCTAGAAAAGATATCTTAAAGTGAAATTATATTACTGTATATAAATTTTAGACATTTGTGCAAAACAATAATTGTATATCAACTATAAAAGTAAGGCATTTTAAAGTGAAGAGTCATAAAGAAAGGACTATAAATGGCTGAGGCATTTAATGCATTGGCCTATCACTCTGACAACACAAGGCTATTCAAACAGTCAAAGTATCCCAAGAATTTTTTGTGGTCAATCTGTCCTGATATGTCAATCCCTCTCTCTCATCACCCAAAAGCCCCATTGCGAGCCTAACCAAATCCATAACAGGTAGAGAAAAATAAATCCTGTTAGTACCCACAGAACAGTAAAAAAAAAAAGTACTACTACTTAGAAAATGAAACAATAACATCAATGATGACCTTTTAAAAAATCTCTTGTTTGGTTTCATAAATTTTTCAGTTAAATAAAAATAGTTGTCTAATATATTAACTCAACAAATTAATTAATAAGAATAATCAAGTTAAGGTTTAACAAAATTCAAATGCTATTGAAACTGCAAAGCTTTGTTACTCAATTACTTTTAAAATGTTTTAAAAATTAATTATGAGTGAATTTGAATCCTAGAAGTATTTAGTATAATTATCCTCGGACAAATTAAAAATTGAATAAGTATTCATTTTTAATGATAATTTTAATACTTAGAGAAAAATAAGACTGCTGAGCAGAATTATTTCTAGCCAAAAATTGAGTTTAATTTATTTTTGATTAACTTCAAAGTAATTTAGTAAGTATAAAGTAGTTTCAACAGCATCATCTATAAATTTACTAAAATTCTAATTTAACAACCAAATATCTATAAGCCAGATTTTTCAAGCTATAATTAGGCTAATACTTAATTAATCAAACCAAGTCATTTGTATGTAATAAACACAACTAACCCAGTTATTACAAATACCAAATGAACAGACTTTTTATTGGACTATAAAATTAAATAAGGAGATAGCAGCCTGAAGGCTTAGCCTGCTGTCATATTTCTTAGTAATTATTTAGCCTTATAGCCTAGTAAAAAATTCAGCTGTTTGTTTGGTATTTCTATGTAATTTATCCTATAGATACAGTCGATTCCGTTTAATTGAGGCTGCTGCTTTATTGAGCCAAATCTCAAAAAATGGAAATCAAACTAATAAATTAATACATAATTTAATTGCTTAATTGGGACAGTAGCATAAAATTAATTTAGTAAGTTTTGATATATTTTAGGGATCTTCCAAAAATGTGTAGACACTACATATACTAATGTCATGTAGGCCTAACGATTGGCAGAGACAAAGCGATTTTGTATTTCACTTGGGCAATTCAGTTTTTCCGGAGGAGGTTACCATAGCGGGACATATCACACGGGGATTCCGTCTGAGATGGACCTGAATGTGAACTACTGACCCTGCTCCAGATTGGATCAGACGATCCCTTTAAAAGCAAAGGGACAAAGATCCTCGAACAATTTTTCAAGGTCTCTCGACTGAGTTGGAAGACAGCTAGAGCTTCCTTAGAAGGTATTATGTGCATAATTACTTCTAGATTTGAACAGCAGCCATCCAATCGTTGAGACCAGCATCTGGAGCTGGCAGATTCTATGGACACTTCTGCCAAAGTGGCTCATCTCCAAGTAAAGGAAACTGTGCTCAAAGGAAGACCATAAGGTGACTTTTGGACAAACCCTTTCCTTTCTTCCTTTTTAGTTAGAACATGTTCTAACTAAAAAAGAAGAAAGGAAAACTCATTTGATCACGAACAAATTGAATGGTCAACCGTTGTACTAATACTGTATTTGGCAACACTTGCGTGATGCGAATCAGTTATCTATTGTCATTGAGTCTGGCACAAATATTTTCTGTATTTTGATTTAATAAAGCATTAAAATAGGTACCTAATTATTATTTTTTACCTACTTATTTATTTACCTATGTATTATATATTTTATTTTAGACTTTATTATTAGTTTGTTTAATTGGGGCAAAATAGATTAGGACTAATGTGTCCCAATTAAGCAAAATCGACTGTATATGGTTAAGACCATCATCTTAATCTAATAATAATAATAATAATAATTGTAAATCAAAAAATCCAGTGTGTAGATAATTGGCTATTGAAACTTCAGACTTGGTAAATATAACTAAACCTTAATTTCTATTCATAAAGACTTCTCATTTTTACCTCCTAAAGTATGTTTTAATAAGTGTACAATTTATTTTTATAAAACAAAAAAATATTTATTATGCACAATATTATTTTCAAGCGATAAATTTTAATTTATGAATTAAAAAGATAGAAGAAAGGAACGCGAGACAAAGAAACAGAATTATAAACATCAACACCAATAAACAAAAAATATAGAAATAAAAACATAATTATTCGATCAGTTAAAGCATCAAAATTTACTTTAGTCTCTATACATAAAATATTCTCAGTGCTATTTGCTTTCTACAATTTTTTTTTCACTACAAAAATATTTTAATTATAAATTTATTGGTCAAAATTGGATATTAAATTTGTTTCGGTATATATTAATATTCTATTTTTAATACCTCTGCTTTAAAAATAGAATACTACAGTTTCCCTTCATCTACACTTTCTCCTTCACTATTTTGACTGGAAATTTTCTTGTCTTTCTGCACTATTTATGGTGTTTTCATATGCTGTGTCTTTTCATGTTTTCATGCCAAAATGATGTCACGGAACTGATCGCTCTATCTCTTAACTGGGACTCCGAATCAATAAATGTTTCTACACTTTTTCAGATTTTAGTGTACTTTCAGCTCTGTTCAGGATGGCAACAATTTTTCAGCACCCTATATAATCAGAAGAAAAATTTCAAGGGAAGGTACATTTATTACCAAAAATTATTACCAGTCATTCCATATTTTACTCAAGGATAAATTAAAAATGATTAATTAATTAATAGAAAATAACACTTACCTGTTTTGAAGTTTCTAGAGGACAATACACCAGAGGTCACCACTGAAAATAAGAAACTTTTAGAAATATTAAAGTATTTCAATTTGAAGATTTAATGAACTAAAAGTAAAAATATAATTTTCATTGTCGCCAAAATGAAATTAGTAATCAGCTGAAGGATAGCAAGTATTGTCACGCTTCTCTTAAGCATGATTTGCACTGCATGTGAGCGAAGAAAGTGAACGAAGTGAATTTCATTTACGCTGCAAGTAGTGGTGAACATGGTAGTGAGTTGTAGTTTCACACTTTTACCAATAACCAATACCAATATAACTCTTGTTGAGATGAAAATTTTGCTTTCATTGATTGACTTGAACTTGTCAACATTGGACGTCCCACTGGCTGGCATGAAAATTTTAAACTCTCTTCGCAAGGTTATGTACATTCACATTTCTTCATTAGCACTCTTCGCTTTGTTACATTTTATACCTTTTGTGTTTAGTGTAAATCATGCTCTGGTATATGATTTACTCTGCAGAAAAATTTCTAAATACAAGAATGTATTTTGTGTGTGTTAATTATAAATATAGGATGAGCTACTTGTAATTACCTGATGTACTAAGTAAGAGAGAACTTTATATAATTATAGCCAATCTATTTGTATGTGGATAAGAATAAAGATATTGTACGTCAAGGCAAAATAAACCATAGAATTCAACTGTTGTATACATGACGCTATAACTTGAAAATTTTGTACGTAGTTGTCATTGAATAATGTGAGGAAATTGGAAAATCTAAAGTAGTGGCAAATGTATAATTTACTTTGAAAGCATAACAGTCAAATCACACAAATTTGCCTGTGTGTGAAGTTTTAGAAAACTTCTAATTAGCTAAATATAATTCCATAATGCAATGTTATCTTGTATTTAAAAATGAATTCTATCAGAATACCAAATAATGCTGACTTAAATATTGGGTTTTGTTTGTTAGTCAAAAGTCTTGGGAAAAACCAAAGAGAATTGTGTCTTAAAGTCAATTTGTCGTACATTCAGTGTATTCGGATATTATGATTATCATTACCTTGCATTCTGTACATTTACAAGCCCATTTAGCAATCAAATTGAGTAAACTGAAAAAACAATTTTGATAGATGGCTATTCCTGCAAAGTTGCATTGCATCCCATGTCATGCTATAACAATATTGCATGGACTAATGAAACCCTTAAAATACTTATGAACTTAAAGCAAACACTTAATGTAAAAAAACTCAAACCCTTACTTCTTATCTAAGCAAAGATCTATTAAAGATCCTATCTTGATACAATGTAATTTTTTCTTCTGCCATCACATTTAGAGAATAATATTAAAATAATCATCTAACAAAATAAAGCATTTACATTGTTGTCTCAGCATAGCCTTCCTTAAAATATTCTCTTGAACAATTCATTCAGTAACAATTGGAATAGGCTTAGTAGGCTCAATACTTAGCCTTCAAGTTCATTAGATATGATGCAGCTTAACTTTTGCATTCTGCAGTTCTCTAAGTAAGAGTCACTGGTCATCTTGCAACACAAATATTACACAGGAGCCATAGAATTGTGGCTGCCGTGGAAGGAGTCCATTGTTAATTGTCACTCTGACAATGGATATGCCATAGCAAGCATAGGAAAAATTTGAGTTCCAACTAGAAGTGTGCAGTGTAACTTGAGGTGTATGTGACAAAAAATTATAACAGGCAAATGTGAAACTTGGATAGCTTTCCAATGTTTTATTGCACACTATGACATTCTTGTATACATTTCAATAATTTAAAATAATAGAATTTTTTACAAGACCCCTGTATTTTTTAATTTAATAATAATAAAGTATTGATAACAATAATTTTCTATTTTTTTAAATAAACAAATTATAGAATTTTATGTGAATTATATCAAATCTCACTCTAGTATAAATGATCTGTAAAACTGGTTAAATATATTTCAACTAATTGTACTGTCAAACAAATAATTATAAAATCTTGGATTCCTCTTACCGCAAGCTAACAAAATTTGATTATTGTTGGTTTAAGATTTCTTTTTTCCTTAGTCAGGCTAATGTACTAATTAACTATATCAATTATTACTAGTTATATTGTAATGCACTGGCACAATAAGTAAAACTTGCAGATTTGAATCTTGTTCCTATCCACCTTTCAAAATTAATTTCTAATTATTAGTCTTAGAATAAGGTGACGACTTAACAGCATCCCTTTACACCAAATTCCATAATTTAATCAATCAATAATTTAATTCTGCCTGATGATAAATTTAGCTAAAAAGTCAATCACATTTTATACACTACAAATAACTAATTTAATAATTTTGATTTTTTTAAACAATTCTGATTTTAAAAAATTATTTTTATTTACATATGTTAAGTATTATTTGGTGAATTATTTAACAAAATGATATAAAATTTGTATGTAATGATTTATGTAACAGAAAATACCATTTGCCTATGTCATATAACTCATATTAGACAATATAACAGTTTGTTAATAAGAGAGAAAGTTGAAACAATTAGCATACCCAGTCCAGAACTCAACTACCAAATCATGAATATAAAATATGAAATGAAAATAAACCAGCAACTTTCATTTCATTATTTAAGTTACTCAACTTTCATTGCAACATTTAAAATTTTGGTGGCATCATCTGCTATCATAAAAACTTAATTTTGAGGATAGGAAAAAAACTTAATTTTGAGGATAGGAATGAGTTTTATAAAAAAAATTGTAAAAGCTAATAATGAGTAACATTGTCATTAATTCTGACCCTACTTGAGATATACACAATCCCTTTATCTTCCCATCTCCTCCACCTTTAACCACAAAAATTTAATAGCATCAATTTCCTTAATACACAAACCTCCGTGCAAAATTTTTGGAAATTTTCAACAAAAAGCACAGGAGTTATTAAGCTTCAAATAGGGTGAACAAAATTGTGCCCCTCAGACGTACAGAAATTACCTCAAATTTTTTTGCATTTCTCAACATTTCAAGGTGTCCTAAGTCCAAAAATGTAAAAATCTGGGGAATCCTTTTTGCCAGATTGCCATACTTTCCCTGTTATAACAGCCAGGAAAGTAAAAATTGAAAATTTACTTCAATTACTGGTTCATGTGAAAATTTTTTTATTCTAACAATTTTCTGTGAGATACCTGCCAGTTAAAGCACAAAAAATAATTATATTTAAAAAAACAAACAAAATATTTAACTTTTATATTAAATATAAGAAACAGAATAAAAGTTCAATCATATAGAATTCATGAAAAAAGTTATTATTATTAAAATGCTATCATTTTTAAATCAAATAAAAAATTGAAAACAAATCAGAAATAAATTGAAGAGATTAGTGAAAGAAGGGTATAAGTCCACAAATGGCTGATTTTGAGTTAGAGGCCAACCATAAATTACGTAAGGGCAATTTTGGCCATTCTAGACTCCCACCCACCCGTGTAAGAAACCGTAATTTTTCTTTGACTCCCCCTCCCCTCCCTATCTTATATAATATTTAAGCATAATTTTATAGAAAAATTTTAACAAAAAAAATTTTTTATGAAACTTTAAAAACCTCAAGTTCAAAATATATAATTATTAATTAGTTAATTAATATGTACTATTATTTATAAAAGACTATGTGAACAAATCTAAATATATAAAAATTTAATGAATTCAAATGAACAATTTATTTTAAGAACTTTATTTTTTAATTATTAACAATTTTATTATCATCATCATCATCAATGTCATAATATTCATTTTTATATTAATTTTAATTTTCACAAAAGAATGCAAAAAACTTTGACAGATTGAGAAGCTAGTGCACGTGTAAACAGAAACGTCATACAAAATAAAACAAGAAAGAAAAGAAACCACATTCCATTGCCATATTAATTACATCTTGGATAAGGTCAATAAAATAAACTACATGTTGCTAAAATGTGCTAGGTGTACCTGGGGAATAAATCATAAAGCTTGTAAAACTCTATACAATGGGGCAATGCAACTAATGCTACTTTATGCGGCCTCTAGCTGGGGTCATGTAACTAGTAAAAATTCAGTAGCATTACTCTCTCTTCAAAGACAGTTTGCTATCAGAATTTCAGTGCTACAGAACTGTTTTTACTAATGCCTCTGATACTAACAGAGCTCCTTCTTTTGCACTATGTATTGTAAGAAAAGATTCTAAACTACTACATCAGAACTACAAACATCAAGTCTCAACAACAGTCTCTACTCCTATCTACGGCTGTTCATATGCTACCACATTGCAATTACCCTACTAAATGTGATCATCACCCTGTAAACAAGGTTATCCTCAGGGTACATTTGGTGTCATCTGCTTCCTCCACAGATAACCATGCAGACATTAATATCTACACAGATGGGTCTAAAAGCTCCCTTCATGTTGGCTCAAGTATCTATTTCTTCCTCCAAACTGACGTATTTTGCCCAAAATATGTTAGAAGGTACAGATACTTCCTACATACCTCCATCTATCAAACTGAAGATGATGCTGACCTATCAACATTTACTGTGATTCTCAGTCTGTCCTAAAAGCTCTATTAAATCCCAATTGCAATAGCAATAAAATCACATATATCCAGCACCATATTAAAAATCTTGTAAATAAGATAACTTTTATATATTTTCCTGGCCATACTGGCATACTTAGAAATGAATATGTTGACTTTAAGGCTAAGTCAGCTGCAAAGGATACTGATTTGGACTACACTCACATCCCTCTCTCACATAGCAGCCTTAAAAATTATTTTCATGTCAATGCTGTGCAAAAGTGGAATCAACAATTGTTGAGCAGTAAAACTGGTAGAATAACAAGATTTTATTTTCCTAGTGTTGAATGTAGGATCTCATCACCACTTAGAGATTTAACAATTGCCATATGATCTATCATTGTCCAATTTACGATCAACATACACTTATTCTGAAATCTGAAATCTTTACACTTGGTTTTTCAGGTGGCCATGTCCACTCGATAAGCCTGTTCAGAAGCCACTGTTTC